TTTAGGGTTCTTAGGGTTCTTAGGGGTTTATCGGGGGGTTTAGGGTTCTTAGGGTTCTTAGGGGTTTATAGGGTTTAGGGAGCTCTCATGCTCAGACACTCAGGCGATTTGCACAAGCCCTGATGCAAAAAAGGGAGTTCTCCATTTCCGAAAATAGGGACCCTAATACAGTACCCTAGAATAGTAGGATCCTTATGATAAGGGCCCCCATATTTATGGCTGCCTGCCAAAGGGGAGTCAGACTCGGGGGCATTCGGGCTCGCCGCATCTATAGTTGCGTTTAGCTGTTGACCATCTGACTGCAAATACCGGGCTTTGCGACCTCCTGGTTTGGAGTTGGAGATTGGGATAGCGCGCTTGAGCGCTGGGGTTTTGCGGCTTAGAGCTATTCTCGTCGCGACAGTCTCCGAGGGCCGGAGGGGTTGCTGTTGGCATGTGCTGGGCTTTGCCCAGGTATCCCCTGATCACTGTCTTCTCGGCGCCGAACTATGCCCCCTTTCTGAAGGGCATGCAGGGTTAGGATCGTTCAAGCTTAGAGCTCTCTCGGGTTTCTGCCAGAGTCAGCCCCTGTACTAGGATAGGCACTACGCAGAGCCCCAGCAGAGCTTGCAGAGACGTCAATGCCCAGCCACGTTTGCCAGTGCCAGAATGCCCTAAGCTGCTAGGGGGTTGACGGGGATTGTGGTCCAAAGCACCGTCTTTGTCAACGGGGAAGTTGCATGGCAATGGGGGACAGTCCTTCAACGCCCCGAAAGCCCCTCAGCCTTGCTGCTGCGAGGTGGACAAGGCCGGCAACATGGCTTCAGCCGCATGGCTCTAATGGCAGTACTTCGGAGACAGAGGGCGTGAAGGGGTGCCCGTCGAACGCTTTCGGGTGTATCGCAGATGCCTTTCCTGTGTTACGCCTCAGTATCAAACCAGCGAAGGCAGAGATCCCGTTCATTTAAGTCACTGCTTCTTTGGCAGGCCTCACCCTAAAGTCCTCGCAGTGCACGAAGCTGGCATGAAGTGATGCAAGTACCCATTGTCATAGATCATACCTACGCATCTCAATTCGTCATCTCACCAGGGGAATTTGCAGTGAGTCAATGGAGTAAAGCGCTCATGCTACTTGCATTGGTCTAGAACTTGCTAAGGTCGCCGTGCTGACCAACGACGGCCTCTCGGCATTCTCGAATTCAGGCTTCATACTGAGCTCCCCAGACCCCGGATTTTGCATCGCCGCCAGGGGCATGTATCTGCACTTTTGGGGAAGAGGAGTGGGGAGGATTCGTAGGACAGGATTGAGCTGAGGGGCACAGCGACTAGCTGCCTCGTGAACAGAGTCCGATCCTTCAAATCTGAGCATCCGGCCTGCGCAAGCAGCTCGTTCCCCATGCATGGCATCCTGAGACTCAGTTAATATGGGGGCCTAAGTGATTGCCAATGCAATTTTTGGGGGTTCCTTGTTATAATTTTGGTACAATGGCCCCCAAGACCCTATTCTAATTACTAAGGCCCCTATTGTACAAAGCCGAAACGAGATCGAGATTTCGATCATCGTCCAGCGGATATGAAGAATCCTCAAAATCTAGAGACTCCCAACCATCTTTTAAGCACATTCTTCAGGCTGCGAGAGCCCGAAACCCCCTGCTTTTCAAACTGTGATAAACATTAATCAAATTCTTAAACCATACTGTCCCTCCGTGATCTGGAATGATGAAGTCAAGTTTGTATGGGTGTGATGTGATTGGCTGGATTTGTATTGCGCGCTACCATGAGCAACAGTTTTCTCGGAAGCTTTGCCTGCTTTGTGCGGCTTGAGACTCGCAATCCTGGAAAAACCCAAGCCTTAGATGCTGATTGAACCTTCACCCCTGTCTGCCTGAATTTAAATGACCACATCCAGCTTTACTGTACGTAGGTTACAACTAACTTAGGTAGTATTAAATTAAAATCCCCGCTATAGGACTTTTGGGGCCCTACGGACGAAGAGGTGATTTAGGTCATCGAAAGAGATGCGTCATATACTATCATATATCATATAGTTACTGTAGTATTACTATACTACAGTATACCAATATATATATATATATATATATATATACACTATCATACACTATAATGTACTAGAATCTACTAGAATATACTGTAGTATAGAAGCCCTACGGTAGACCAAGGCTCCAAGCTGACCGGCCCTGAGTTCGTGCAGTACTCCGCGCAGCCGCACCCGGATGTGCCAGGGCCGCGCCTTTTGGGTTTCGGTCCACTGCTTTTGAGACTTGGGGGTTTCCAAAAATAAGGGGTACCATATTTTGGGGTTCTTTATCATAAGGATCCTACTGTTTAGGGTGCTACATTAGGGTCCCCTATTTTCGAAAACCCCACTTCGGGTGTAGGGGTTTATAGGAGTCTAAATCCCAGCCCAGTACTCGAAGCCGCGAGGGTTTATGCCGGTATCAGCCCTCATGTGGGGGGCATATAGAAAATGACCAGGGAGCTGCAACCTTGACAGGAAATCCTCACCCTCCAACGGCACTTGCATGACTCTAGTCCGGGAATCCTTGTGTTCACTTGTGCTCTCAAGGTTGGAGCAACTCTTAGCTTTTGATTCCTATTTGACGAGAGGCTGTAGTGCAACCCGAAAACCTGAACAATCGAAGATCTGGTGTCCTGCCTGAAGCCTCGAATCTCTAAACGAGAATTGTCAAGCGCCTGCAAGCCCCCACTTCAACAAGATCCGGAATCCGAACCCTCACAAAACATCATAAAACAATGGCAAACCTGATTGAAACCACAAACCTTACAGCAAACGCTCCAAAATTGATCTTCGAAATCTCCAAAAGTGATCTTCGAAAACAAAACCAGCTTTTCTGCTGAACTCCTGAGCTTGCAGATCGAAGACGCGTACTGGAACATAATGTTGAAGCGGGGAACGTCTCACACTCAATCCGGAGCCTGAATCAGACAGCTTGAAACAGACAGATCGGATGCATGTGGGCCTGCCCCATTCCTCGGGTGTAGACAGAGCTGGTGTGAACGTGTTTACGGCGAATCGAGTGAGAGGGTCAATGCAGAGCATTCCGGATTCGTGCGAGCTCACAACCAGGTCTGACAACCCTTCAGCCACCAAACCCCCAGGAACCGTACCGGAACCCTTACGAAACCTCCTATAGCACCCTAGAATGAGCCCTTTCACCCCATCGGCCTTCAAGACTAATCAGGTTCCATCCGGTGCCTACGCGGTTGGCGGTCCCCTCCACCCCCAGGGCGCAGCCCGCTGAGGGGCGGCGAGTTGATTTTATGAAGAGGCCCAGTTTCCATGTCTTCGGAAGCCAGAACGTTACTCTGGTTATGATGTAAAAGAATCTGTTTTGCCTAAGCCAAGGTAAAGGTAATGGAGGTACGACACACGCCAGATACCATCGTATACTCCACCTCCCGGAGGCCGCAGAGGAAGATGTGCAAGCGAGATGTTTTCTTCTGGCTTCGGAGCCTTCCTTTGGGCTTTTGGAGCCCTCGCAGTTAAACACAAGTAGCCTGGTTGTAGAGTAGAGTGGGAGCTCGCCATGCACGAAGCATGGCACTCCGGCTAAGCGGCCACTGGCCGGTCTATTTTCCCATAGATGTAGCCAGTTCTCCAAGACGGCAGCGGGACCGAGACCTCGTAGACAGGCGTTCGCTTCAGTGTCTACTGCACTGGAGCCTCTATGAAGTTGCGTTGTTTGGGGAAGTGGTTCAGGAAAGGTACAGTCTAGCCGAGACTAGATTCTAGCCTAGACCTCAGGACGATTTGTTTTAGTATTTTTTGGGCGAACCTCAGCTGATCGTAGTGGCAGCATGCGCCCTCCAGCTTTTCTTGTTGTAGCATTTGCAGATTTCGAGTGTGGGGGGGATGCAGAGGGTACCTTGCCAGGTTGTGTCAGACCAGAATCTTGAGGAAGGCGCTTTCGAACTACACACCTTATCCTCATCCTTGAGCAGTGCCTACTGCAGTCGGGAAGGAACGTGCGGAGGAAACCAACACGTGCAAGCAGATCAATGTAGGCTATAAGCTTACAGATGAGAGACACCGGCTCGCTGTCGTCTTCAACCGGACTTCGACAGCAATGCCCGTGCACCTTGGCATGATCTAAGGAACTAAGATTCTGTCCTGGAGTTCGGGGATGCTTGCGGTCGTAGACGGGCACAGTTGAAGCTCGTGCTCTCCGTGTGCAGCCCCCTGTTTCTGTAGAAACCTTTCCGTTCGCTTAACACTCCCCTAGCTTGGAGCGAATCAGAAAACTGACCGCAAACAGCTTCAAACCTTAGATCTGGAGCCGTGGGGAGCTTTCTGAGCCAAGGTGCCCCGAGTGCTGCGCTCAGTAGGGGCCTGCAAGGCCTCAGACGACCCCTGCGGCGGGAAAATGGATGCCTTCATGGGGGGGCGGGCTGGCCTTTGAGGGGTTTGGGGTGTAGAGTGTAGAGAAGGTTGAAACTCTGCTTGTATGCTGGTATTCGATGTCTTCAATTCGCGTGCTTCTGCAAACGGTGCTGCTATGCATAAGGCAGGATTGCATGTGGCTTTTTATGCGAGTGCAACTTCTGATCATGCCCGAGCAACGTAAGACCCTAAGCTGAAGCCACGCCTGCATTGTCCGAGTCGCGATCGTCGCCAGAATGCCCGATGAACCTCAGACGCCTGCAAAAGGCAACATGAACCCTCAACCCAAAGCCCGAAAAGCCCGAAACCACGGATCTTTCAGGGTCAGGGTTTGTTCGCTTTAAAACGGGTGGCGCTTAAGAGTAGCCCTCTGCTGGTCGCCTGGCTCCACTTGCTTCTCGCTTTTGCTTTGTGCTTCCTGCTTCTGCGGCTGTGTTTGCTGGTCTCCTTATTTGTTGTTCGGTTTTGCATCGCTGTCAGCCTTTAGCTACGTGGTTATTGCTGCTTGAGTTTCGGGTCTATAGGGCCGGTTTGGCGACATCCTTCTCTGTGGCAAGCTGCAGGGGGATTTCAAGCTGGAGTGTTGTGAAGCCCTGCAGGCTTCCCCTTCGCCAATGGCTTGCCGCCCTAAGCGCGCGAAACTCTCCAGATCCCAATTGGGAAGCCTGCAAGTTCTACCTCCCTGACACCCCGAACGACATCTAAACACAACCAAAAAGACACTGGAGCCCTAAAGACCAGGCCCTGCCTTGATCTGAAACTTAAGAAGTTCAGTTCCTGCACTTCAAAAGTATGCACCCTGTCCCAGTCTCCTTCCCCAGCTCTTGGGGCAGGGAGCGTCCACCCTACGGCTTTCCAGCGCTTCTCGCCTCTTCCAGTGGGTTCTAGCAGCAAGCTTGCGGGCTCGGCTGTTGAGGGGGTATAATACCTCAGGGTGAAGTCGGTGTTGCTCCGGTTTCCTCGCTTGCATTGCACAATGCTTGCAGCAAGCTGGCTCATGACTACTCAAGTGTGTTGGAAAGCAGAACAGGTCCAAACCAGTTATGTGGCAGCTGGGGCCCAACTGGTTTTCAGAAACGGGGTTTTCAGTTTTCGAAGCCCGAGCCGAGCTTCTCGCTGCCACCAAAGCCTAGGCCTTGCCGCATCTCTCGGCTGTCTCGCCGTTCTCTTTTAAGGTATCCCAAATCCTTGTAAGACATGTCTCGTAGCTACAAGCTGAGCCTTTTCCTAACCTGACAGTGCAGCACAACGCCTTAGATTCTTTTCGGGAGCGGCGGCACAGGTTCAACTCAAGTGAAGCTTCGCACTTAGCAAGGCATCTATACATAGATAGATGCCGTGAAGCCTTTCAAAACACCCTTGTAAAACCCTATTGAAACCCTTACAGGTCCCTAAAGGGAGCTGCTTCGTGTGCTCGTGTGCGAGGCTCTTCTTTGTACCTTTGAGCTCCGGGGCCTCCCTTTGGTTACGTGCGGCACCCAGGTGAAGGAAGCGTCACGGTTTCTGGGGGGACAAGGGGGGCGCTGAAAGTTTGGGCTTAGGGTTCAGGGCGGCTCGTAGGGGCTCTCAGGGTTCAGGGCTTGAGGTGAAAATCGAAGGGCTTAGTGGTTGTCGTAGATGGAGAGCCGCTGCAAGTGTCAAAGCGCGAGCCAACCATTGCACATGCCCGTCGCTTGCGATTCGAAGGCCAGGTGTCAAGAAGCTCGAACCATAGCTGCAAGGATATTCGGAGAACGCGGGTGCCTGCGTAAGGTGTGCACAAGGCTGACGAGTTGCGCGTTTGCCTGGCACTCAGAGTCTTTGGAGAAAGTGTACTGCAAACCAGTGCTAGCCCATGCTTCGATGATATGACCTTCAAAACTTAGTCATGTCCGAGTCCAAGAGTGGGGCGCAAACCCGGAGCACAACCGGACAATTTTGCAAGAGGGCCGCCATGCCATGCCTTTACTCAGCTCTTTGCCTGCGGGAGCCAGAGGGGCTGTAAAGGTCGCTCTTCAAGCAAGGCTTCTCAGTGACCATGCATCTATGTCTCGTAGCTGGGATGAACCATAGCCTTCTATACATAACATGAATAGATACAACATAATATACTATAGTAGAAGCCACAATAATATAGTACCCATAACTATACCCATACTAGTACCCATCGTCTGCTCCGGGGAGCTCCGAGGCTACTTGGAGCCACGCGGCTCGAGCCGCGTTACACGACATGGTGGCTTGGGCGGCGAGGGTCATTGGAGTTTCGGATTTTCCGGTCACGGCGGGGGTTTAAATCAGCATCTTCAGGCGTATTGCTGACACATGCAATGTGGAACCGGCGGTGCTTCTATGATATCTGCACATATTCTTGGATCATTAGCAGCCGGACGCCTAGCTCGAGCTTGTATCGCTTCTGCAGGCGAGTGGCGGCGAAAGCAGGATTGACGGTTCAAAGACTAGCTTCTAACATCCGTTCTCGGCAGGTCACAACTCGGAATCATCCCCGAGGACACAGCAGACAAACGCTCTGACCAAGGCCTGGCAGCCGTCCGCGCCTCGTCGCGAACCGCCGAGCCGGTGGTCGTCAGTGTCAGGGCAGAAAAAATGGGTGCTATCTGCTATCTCGAATCCGTATCTCAGCTGTAGTAGAACATGTAACATGTAGCAATCTGCTATGGCACAGAATCCCTGCCCTACACAGGGGGCGTTATTTTGAAGCACTCCTCCCTACGCACCCAAGCAGAACTGAGAAGGCAAACTACACAGTTCTACTTGTTATGAAGCCTTTGCGTTCTTTGTGGCAACGGCACCTACTTGATTAGACGGGGATCCAGCAGCGCTGGCACCACCACCGGGAATAGTAATAATAGGAATCGTGACAACAATGAAAGTAGCTGATTCTACGGTAGTGAACCACAACAACAGCCACGGCTACAAGATGTCAGCAGGTAAAAACAGCACCAGGGCCCACGACTTTTCCTGTGGCCAACCGAAGGTGAAGTGAGTATACCTGCATAGAATCGTGCCTACTTGTCTAGGGTTTGCGGTGTTTAGGGTTCATGTAGGGCCTTTGCAACCATGTCGATTGCGCGAAGGTTTCATTGGCGTCTGCATGCTGCACGCGTTTGCAGACGGAAACTGCTATCTTCCCTTGGTCAAGGCACCTCTTGAGGTTCATCCACGGCTTTTCAGGGCTGGCCGGGAGCTGTGGCTTTGGCCATGACTGTACTTGCCCTAAACCCCTAACCCCTAAACCCCTAAACCCCTAAACCCTAAACCCCTGAACCCCTAAACCCCTAAACCCTAATCCTGTAACTCCCAGCTTTCTTGAAGGACCTCATGACCGGCTACGCTGCCGCTGCAGAGCAGAAAGAGCCTCAGCTGGCGCCCCTGGAGGCGAGGCCTCACCAAGTAGAAGCAATCGGAAGGAGTTGCCATCGTAGTAGTAGCAGTAGTAGTTGTAGTAGTAACTACTTAGTATTAGTCTTCGTCGTTGTCATTTTGGCAGTCTTAGAGCAGTTGCGGAAGAAGTAAAAGGTTCTGTGACAGATGCTATTGGGCGGTTTGACCCTGGCCATTCAGAGGACAGTCTTGCGGAGCTCCAGCGCAGACTCTTCGACACATTCAATCAGAGGCATGTCCGGCCTCTTTGTTTGGGAGTTCCGGGCAGACAGCTTTGTGGCATTCGAGATTAATGTATCATCGTTTTTTTTTGCGGCTGTTGTTGTTCTGTGGTTTGGATGCGTTGAGGTGGCTGGTTTGAGCAATGGTGGTTTGCGGGGTTTCGATCCTCCACTGGGCTGCGTTTTCTCGGAAGATGCACGCCCACTAAACGTTGAACTGATTCCCCAGCGAGATCTCGAGAACGGGCTTGGGGCTATGTCCACGGAAGGATGCGGAGGGGCTTGCGGAAGCTATGTCTCGGCTGAAGCTCCTGACAGCACAGTCAGTACAGCTACATCCGCTCTCAGCTCCCTTCAGATGAGCCAGGCCAACCCCAGCTCGCTGCTCCCTCCGGGGCGGCATCTATCGCTTCCGGGGTCGAGGCTACGGTCACAGCATCCTGACTTGGACTCGAGTGCTGGACTTTGGGTTTTTGGGGTTTAAGAATTTTGGTGGTTCAGGGTGCGAAAGAAGTTCGAGGGAGTAGGGCTTGGGGGGGGGGGGGGGGGGGTGCAGCCTAGATTTCACACTTTAGTTCCCAAAACGATACATTTAGCATTGACACCAAACAGCGGCGGTCTCGGTTGCAGCTATGTGAAATGCGAAATTATCTGTCCCTCCTGGGCCATTCGGGGTCCTTGCGATCAGGAACAGTGGGAACCCCAATTTGGGGCATCCTGCGGTTGAACACGATTTCGCATTGAATCTGATGAACTTGGTGCCTTAATTATTAATAAGGCATATAGGTTTGGGGCCTGATGATCGCCGATAGTTGAACTTGCGGCTCCATTGTCCGAAACCGCAAGATCAGCCGCAGTAATGCTTTCTCTCTGCATACAGTAGAAATCACGTTTGGTAGATGAGCATCTGCCCAGAAGGGGGTTTGTAGTCGTCATGTGGGACAGGCCCATCATCCCGCCGGGGAGCCCACGCAGCCCTACCTCACTGCAACGCCTTGCTCCCTTGCAGACTTCTTATCTGACGCAGACCTTCCTCTGCGGCCCCGGTCCTCCTACATCGGATGACGGGACTACTAAGGGTACTAAGGTTCAGGCTGCAAGGACATTGCATATAAGTATAACATTGCACTTAGCCTTTGCGCCGGCCCATGAATGCGCCATGAAGCCAAGAAATCTGGCTCCTCAATCCCACAGCCACCCGGGCTGAGGCATAGAGGCAGGCGTAGAGGGTGTCGGCAGCCTGAAATCCTTAAAGATTTGTAGGGGAAGTAGCTGATCCGAATATGGGGCTATGGGGATGGATTGTAGAATTGTCATATCATTGCTTGGGTTCCTAAGTCGCGCTATACACGTAATACATACCCCAAACCCCATTCTACTTGATGATCAAAGCCCTGACATTGCGCTAATCCATCGAGCTCCGTCTATCACGCTAGGAGTTCCGAAGAAGTTTGGTATGGCTTGCAGGGTCTCTGTGTTTGGGTCCGCTTCTTCTCAGAACCTGAGCGGTATTTTGAGCTGCTACCCAGAGACTCCAATATCC